CTCAAATGACAGCATCGCTCTGTTCTCTCCCCTGAGCTGCCAGCAGACCACCCAAATGCCAATCCATGTCCTACAGCGTGCTTGATTCTTAACAGCTCGAAACCGGGACCCTCCACCTTCTCATTGCACAAACCCGCTCTTCTTTTTTTTGTTTTTAATTTTTATTTATTTTTGAGAGAGAGAAAGAGACAGAGAGAGCAAGAGTGAGAGCTAGAGAGAGACAGAATCCCAAGCAGGCTCCATACAGTCAGCATGGAGCCCGATGTGGGGCTCAAACTCACAAACTGTGAGATCATGACCTGAGCCAAAACCAAAGTCAGATGCTTAACCGATGGAGCCACCCAGGTGCCCCAAACCTGCTCTTCTAATTCCCCATGCACCCTGGTGCCCAAGTCAGAAACTTGAGTGCTATGTGTCTCACTCCCAACACGTAAGTCCCACCCATTCTGCCTCCTTAATTTGTCTCACTGCCCCCTCCATCCTCACGTCCTGCGCAGCGGGGACCATACTACAAAGTCTGATTCTAGGTCCTGTGCAATAGCTTCTCACCTGCTTCCAGGCACTCCTTGCTTCCTCCTTGGGTGTAGCCCGCACGCAGGATCAGAGCAGGATTTCCAAGACACGATTCTAACCCTGTCTTTCTCCTTCTCACAAGCTTTCAGATTCTCCTACATTTCTCAAGATAAAGTCCATTCTCTGTAAGGGGGCTTTCAGAGCCCCGCCGAGGAGAGACCACAGCTCAGCTCCTCAGCATCACTCTTGCAGAAACTCTCCAGCCCTCCCCTGGCAATGACCGTGTAACCACAGGGCACTCTCTCTCTTTTTTTTTTTTTTTTTAAATATTTATTTCTAGGAGAGAGAGAGAGAGACAGCGTGAGCAGGGGAGGGTCAGAGAGAGAGGGAGACAGAGAGAGGGAGTCACAGACTGAAACAGGCTCCAGGCTCTGAGCTGGCAGTCAGCACAGAGCCCGACGCGGGGCTCGAACCCACAAACCGCGAGATCATGACCTAAGCGAAAGTCAGACGCTTAACCGACTAAGCCACCCAGGCGCCCCCACAGGGCACTCTCTTGATGCCAGGTCTTCTTCTGTGCTGTTTCTTTCCCTGGACATTGATGTCATAACCCCACCTCTTTAGCTCTGCTAGTTCTGCACCTCCCCCCCTTAATTTTGGGGCCCAGGCGAGAACTCCAGATGTGCTCCCGCCACTGTGTGCGCTCCACCCCAGCCATGTGTGCCCCACTCTCATTCTCCTTACAGGTGTCCCTTGGGAAGTCTCTGTCTCTTTCCAGAGCCACCAGTCTGGCTTGGCACCCTCGTATGTGCTTCTAACGGCACCCTGACACCACCCCCCCATCAGAACTTTTCACAGGGTTTCTGATGACCTTTTGCTTGTGTCCCATTAGATGGTAACCGTTTTGTGACCATAGAGCATTGTTTTCCTCTCAGTTCTGTTTCTCTGGAGAGCCATGACTCACACAGTCTATTCCGAGTTCAGGAGTTCATGCACAAACGTACGTACAGTAGTAGGACAGAGATTTAAACTCTGATAAAGCAGAGGTTCCGGTCCGAGGTGGGAGCCTTAGTAATTCTATCACCTCCCACTTCTGTCCTGAATCAGAGGAGTGAAAGAAACACGTATTTTTTAAGATTTTATTTATTTTGGAGGAGAGGACAAGCACAAGTAGAGGAGGAGCAGAGAGAGAGAGAGAGAGAGAGAGAGAGAGAATTCCAAGCAGACTCTGCACCAGAGCCTGATGAGGGGCTTGATCTCACAAACAGCAAGATCATGACCTGAGCCCAACCAAGAGCCACAAGCTTAACTGACTGAGCCATCTGGCCTTTCTTCCTCTGGAAGACCCTTAGAAATGGCGACTATTGATATCTTTGTTTAAAAAAGAAGTGCTCATGGCACAAAAACAGACACATAGACCAATGGAATAGAATAGAGAATTCAGAATTGGACCCTCAGATGCATGGCCAATTAATCTTTGAGAAAGCAGGAAAGAGTATCCAATGGAAAAAAGACAGACTCTTTAACAGATGGTGCTGGGAGAACTGGACAGCAACATGCAGAAGAATGAAACTAGATCATTTTCTCACACCATGCACAAAAATAAACTCAAAATGGATAAAAGACCTGAATGTGACACCGGAAACCATCAAAACCCTAGAGGAGAAAGCAGGAAACAACCTCCTTGACCTCAACCGCAGCAATTTCTTACTTGACACATCCTCAAAGGTAAGGGAATCAAGAGCAAAAATGAACTATTGGGACCTCATCAAAATTAAAAGCTTCTGCATGGCAAAGGAAACAATGAAACTAATAGGCAACCAACAGAATGGGAAAAGATAGTTGCAAATGATATATCAGATAAAGGGCTAGTATCCAAAATCTATAAGGAACTCACCAAACTCCACACCCAAAAAACAAATAATCCAGCGAAGGAATGGGCAGAAGACATGAACAGACACTTCTCCAAAGAGGACATCCGGATGGCCAACAGACACATGAAACGATGCTCAGCGTCCCTCATCATCAGGGAAATACAGATCAAAACCACACTGAGAGATCACCTCACACCGGTCAGAGTGGCTAAAATGAGCAAATCAGGAGACTCTAGATGCTGGCGAGGATGTAGAGAAATGGGCACCCTCCTACACTGCTGGTGGGAATGTAAGCTGGGGCAACCCCTCTGGAAAACAGTGTGGAGGTTCCTCAAAAAATTAACACTAGAACTCCCCTATGACCCAGCAATAGCACTGCTAGGAATTTACCCAAGGGACACAGGAGTGCTGATGCATAGGGGCACATGTACCCCAAGGTTCATAGCAGCACTCTCAACAATAGCCAAAACATGGAAAGAGCCTGAGTGTCCATCAACGGACGAATGGATCAAGAAGATGTGGTTTATCTACACAATGGAATACTTCAATGGCAATGAGAAAGAATGAAATCTGGCCACTTGTAGCAACGTGGATGGAACTCGAGGGTGTTATGCTGAGCGAAATAAGTCAAGCAGAGGAGGACAGCTACCATATGTTTTCACTTATAAGTGAATCAGGAGAAACTTAATGGAGGACCATGGGGAAGGGGAAGGGGAAAAAAATAGTTGGGGAGAGGGAGGGAGGCAAACCATGAGAGACTCTTGAATGCTGAGAACAAACTGAGGGCTGATGGAGGTGGGGGAGAGGGGAAGGGGGGTGATGGGCATGGAGGAGGCCACTTGTTGGGATGAGCACTGGGTGTTATGTGGAAACCAACTTGACAATAAACTAGGAAAGAAAAAAAGTCAAATAATGTTTAAAAATAAATTAATTAAATTTAAAAAATTAAATTAAAAAATAAAAATAAATAAAGAAGAGGTGCTCAGGGGCGCTTGGGTGGTTCAGTCAGTTAAGCCTCTGGCTCTTGGTTGAGGCTCAGATCATAATCTCACGGTTTTGTGAGTTCGAGTCCTGCGTCAGTCTCCACACTGGCAGCGCAGAGCCTGCTTGGGATTCCTCTCTCTCTGCCCCTCCCCCACTTGTGCTGTCTCTGTCTCTCTCAAAATATTAAAAAAATTTTTTTAATATATTATAATGCTGGGAACCAAGAAGGGGTTTCCTCAGTGCATCAGAAATGATTAGGAATCCCTGAAAGCCAGAGTTAGATTGGCTAACAGGGATGCATCTTTGACAAAGATGAGTGTGTGAGAAGCCCACACATTTGAGGAATCCTAAGATCATAAAAGAGAGAGGCACAACGGAGACAGAAGGGGTGGCTGAGGCTGCTGTCATTACATCCATGTCCCCTTATACACCCATCCCATTTCCTGATGTAGCCATTTAATGAAAAGAGCACAGAACCAGGTGTCCGGATTCTGGTTCTGGGACTGTTCCAAGGCTGTGTGGCCCTGGGAAGCTGTCTATCCTTCTCTGGGCATAGTTTCTTCTTCCTTAAAATGGAGGTAACACCCTCTCCCTGTGAATTTCTAGTGGGACAGAGTGAGAATGGTATGGGAGCAGCTAATGCGATGACCAGAGAGAAGCTCTGAAGTCTCCTCGATCCCTTCTTCTGCTCCAGGACCTTCTTCCCCCACTCCCCGTACCCAGGCCTGGACAGGAGCTCAGTGGCTCCTCAGTGAGTGGGTCAGTATTGCTTTTCCCTTCATGTTCAGTCTCTTTCCTGGGCATACGCAGCAGGCTTTCTCATGGTAGGGAGGTAAGGGGCTTTTTCTAAATTCTGGCAATGGCTGGGCAGGGACAGAAGGTGCCTGTCAAGGCTCCTTACAGGATGACAGAGAGTGGCCACCTCCCTCGCCTCCTAGGTTGGACCCTAATGGGCAGAGGGACCCCGCCACTCCCTGGAAGAGCCCTGAGCTAAGACCCACTGCCAGTCTGCATGGGACTGGTTTTGTGAGCCCTGGATTGGGTTCTGCCCAAACCGTATCCCTAACTGACTGGTGGGTGACTTTGGACCACCCTCTGGGCCTTTGCTTCTTAATCTGTAAGATGGAGAAAGCTGTACTCAGGGATCTCAAAAGCGCCTTCCATGTCAAAATGTTGTAGAACCTTGGACTCTCTTTTGATGGAATCTGAGTCACAGTGGAATCAAGCAGAGAAAGAATGCAGAACACGGAAGCCGTCACCCAGGCCCCTAGTTCTCACCTGCGAGCCGTGCAGAAGCTGCCTTGCCTCGCTCCTGCCCAGCGTCCTCCTCTCACACCTCCCCTGCCCCCTCGCTGCCCCCTGTCCTGCCTCTTGTCCCTAGGACTTCCCCGCCTCTCCAGGCTGTGTCTGCCTCCGTCGCCAGTCACTCAGACCAGCCTGCTTCTCTTCTTTGCCTCCTCTTACCAGTTTCACCCCTTCCCACCTCCACGCCTGGGGCCCCTCTGCTCCTCGCAACACTTGCCTCCCCCCCTCTCCCTCTCACCTGCATCGCCCCTTCCGGCTGGCCCCCCCTCCTCCCACACCTCTCCCCTTACCGCTGCCCCTCCTCCTCACCCTGCTTCTTCCCCCACCTGCACGGGCCTTGGATAGGCCTCCCCCCCTCCTGCTCGGACACGTGTCCCAACCAGCCCTCCCCAGGCCCAGTGATTCCCTCACTCCGTCGTGGAGGCCTCATGTCCTTCCCAGACATCCTGGGAAGGTGGTGCCCAGCATCCTGGTGAACATGGGGGACACTGGATGTGACCGGCAGGGACATTCCCCTCAGGTAAGGGTCTCTCTCCCTGTGCCCTGGTTATCTTGCTGCCTGAGGACAGCATAGGCCTCCGTGTCCATTCCTTACATGATATAAAATGAGGATCTTATTATTCATCGCAACACTTAAGTCAAGGACACTGGTACACACACAGGTACCTGTGCACACCCCCGGGGCCAGGTCAGCACGGGATCAGCACGGGAGGTCCAGGCAGCTTTGGCCTGATGATGGTGTGGATGGAATGTTCTGAGGCGTTCTGCTTTCCCGTCCTTTTATGCGATCTGAAAAACTTGGTGCTGCTCTCTCAGTTGGCTTCTATATCATGTTGATGGGTTGAAGTCCATTTGGTCATAGAACACATTTTTCCTGGGATGAGGAAGCTTTTTTTTTTTTTTCCAAGTTTGTTTGTTTGTTTGTGTAGAGAGGCAGAGAGACAGAGACAGAGGCAGAGAGAGAATCCCAAGCTAGCTCCACACTCAGCGCTGAGCCCATCACAGGGCTTGATCCCAAGAACCACGAGATCATGACCTGAGCCGAAATCAAGAGACGGATACTTAACCCACTGAGCCATCCAGGTGCCCTGAGGAACCTTTTTTTTTTTTTTTTTTTTTTTTTTTTTTTTTTTTAGGGCTGAGTTTTTTATTCTCTTTGGTCCCTAACATGCTTTTATCATTGGCCTGAGGAAGGCCCCTCTCTTGTTCTATTTATTCACTTTTATGCCCATTTCTCACTTCTCCTTCCCTCATGAAAACACTATTCAAAATATTTTGACACGTATGTGTATGTATTCTCACAAAATCTGTAGTGCTATTTTGTGAGCCATATTTTTAATTTTCATACGTGAGATTAGGCACGAGGCTTCATTCTGTTTACTACCTTTCACCCAGCACTCTATTTTCAAGATGTGCCTATGTTGTGTGTGTGTGTGTGTGTGTGTGTGAGAGAGAGAGAGAGAGAGAGAGAGATCTCCGCTTCTAACTTCTGCACTGTCTCCTGCCCAGCATCTCCCCGATTACGCTCATGCATTTCCCCAGGGGCAGCCACACGCCCAGATGCTCTGACTCTTCACCACTGTGGACAGTTCCAAACCAGCCATCCTTGTACAGGTACCACTTGTGGCACCATGTGAGAGTCCTCGGGGACGGGTGCCCAGCACTAGGAGCACTGAGCTAAAGGGTCTAATCTCCCATCATTCACATACAAGTGTTCTTGTCGGGATGAGAAATCGTTCATTAAGTATATTCAGAAGGTGAGTCCAGTAAGCTCCTTCTGGGCCGTTCTATGCCCAGGACCTAGGAATGATTTTATCAAACCTATGAGATAATTTTTGGCCTTTTAGAATCAGCCTATATTTCACAAATTTTCCTGGATCTCAGGAGACTTTTTTTTTTTTTTTTATAAGTTTCTGGAGTTTTGAGGCAAGCACACACACATATGAATCAAGACTGTTGACTCTCTACTTGATCGCCAGCACCGGCCACCATTAGCTAAGGGGGCTAACGCCCTATTGTCCGGCTTTATTTATACAAGAGCGGCTTGTCAGACACCTTCTGCAACTTCTTTGCAATTTGTTCTTAAAATTATTAGTCTTACTGATTACAGTCATTGCTGGCATTATGCCAGTCCATAATGCCTCACGCTTTCAGAAGCTGTCCGGATCTTTAGTACGTTCCTTTTCCTCAGGCAGGTTGCTTTCCCTGTGTCCCTAATCCTTGTCTGGTTGGTTGGCCCGTCTTGAAGGGCACCTCCCTTGGTAACTGTCCTCTTACACCACCTGGGCCTCTGGCTAAACCATGGAAGATGCAGGACTGGTGATGGCTGAGCTGGAGCGAATGCAGGGGCCCACCCTCAGAGAAGGCTGGGGGTTCCCGGGAAACTTCCTTCCAAGTGCACTGTCTCATCTGTATCCCAGCAAAATCCAGAATGATCCTCTGTGACCACCAAGGCTTTCGCACTCTGAGAACGCACCTGTTTCAGGAGGAGGGAAGGTTTCCAATGTTTTTTATTTTATTTTATTTTATTAGTATTTTATTTATTTCTGAGAGAGAGAGAGAGAGAGAGACAGCGTGAGCAGGAGAGGGTCAGAGAGAGAGGGAGATACAGAATCTGAAACAGGCTCCAGGCTCTGAGCTAGCTCTCAGCACAGAGGCCGATGCAGGGCTCGAACCCACGAACTGTGAGATCATGACCTGAGCCTAAGTCGGACGCTTAACTGACTGAGCCACGCAGGCGCCCCAGGTTTCCAATGTTTTAACCAAAGCTGTGATCTTTTCAAATGGCCCTTACCCGGAAATGTGCAAGGTAGCAGTGCTAAATGTATATGCATATGTAATTGCTACCACATCCAGATACAGGATTGCCCCCAAATGTCTTTGTGACCCTTTGCAGTCAATACCATCCACCCCAAATCCTCAAGAAACACCGATTGGCATTTTGTCCCTATATATTAGTCTCGTGTGGTCAGGACTTTCATATAACAGGATTTACCCTTTTGTATCTGATTTCATTCATTCAGTATACTGTTTTTGCCATTCATCCGTGTTATTTTGTATATCAGTAGTTCACTCTATTTAGTGCTGAATGGGATCTCATTATATTAATATACCAAATCATGTTTCCATTGCATTTGTTGCTAGATGTGACAGTTATTGATTCATTGCCTCTCAACTCCAAATCTACCCTTCATTACCTGCTCTGCAGTAGTAAGATAGCTCTTTGAAGCATTTCTCACTTGCACCGAGAACAATATTGAGTGATGGCAGTAGGTGGCGCTGGAGGGAAGCGGCAGGAGGAAGAAACTCCCCTTCCCAGGCCCAGGGTGCTTCTGTTTGCTTCGGTTCCTCTGACTGCACCTGCTGCCAGAGATGAATGCGTGGGGACATTCTCCGCCCTGCCCCAGGTATGCATCCAGAGCACACAGTGCCTGTGGGCTCACAGCCTCAGGCCTAGCCCAGAGCCCACTTCACTGCAGCCCTCCCATCAAGGACTCTGCAAACCTCAGGCCTCACATGCCCTGCTGGAGAGCAGACCATTGACTCCCCTGTGCGCAGGCCTGCTCGCCTCAGCCCTCCGGCTCCCGGTGGCCCTCCAGACACGGGCACATGAACCCCAGGCTTTCACCACTCTGCCTGCAAGTAGGTTCCTGACTCGGACCCTCCCGGAGCCCTCCCTGCCAGCCTCTCCCGCCAGCACCGCAGAGGGATATTTGATGCTGACCTGGAGACCATCAGCCAGACCTTACACATTTTTCAACAAGGTGTGAATCCCAGCTTGAAGGAGAGGACCCTCTTCCCATGCGTTCCCTCCCTGGATACTCTCCTGCCTTAGAATGATCTGTAGAGTTCTCTTAGCATGTCTCCAATGCTAGGGTAATAATTTTTAAAATTAAATTTTCCTTATTCAAATTACTGTGTGGTTCCTGTACTCTGATTGAACCTTGACCAGATATGTTAGATGTTTGTAGTGTTTCACATTTTTTGATTGTTATGAATAAAGCTGCCACGAACATTTTTGTCTTTGGGTGGACATACGTAGTCATTTCTCCTGATAAACACCTACAAGAGGAATTGCTAGGTCCTGTGGTAAGTGTATAAGAAATTTAAAAGAAATGGCCAAACCGTTTTCCAAAGTGGTTGTACCATTTTATATTTCCAGCTAAAATGCTGCTCACATCCATTCCAGCACTTCGTATTGCCAGTCTTTAATTTGAGCTATTCTAGTGGATATGCAGCTCCCTGATGAATAATGGTGATGAGTGGGGTATTTTTTTTAATGTTTATTTTTGAAAGAGAGAGAGAGGGAGAGAGAGAGAGAGCAAGTGGGGAAGGGGCAGAGAGAGAAGGAGACACAGAATCCAAAGCAGGCTCTAGGCTCTGAGCTGTCAGCACAGAGCCTAATGTGGGGCTTGAACTCACAAACTGTGAGATCATGACCTGAGCTGAAGTTGGACGCTTAACCAACTGAGCTACCCAGGCACCCCTTTTTAAATTTTTTTTAATGTTTCTTTAAGAGAGAGATAGAGTATGAGGAAGGGAGAGGCAGAGAGAAAGAGGGAGACACAGAAACTGAAGCAGGCTCCAGGCTCTGAGATGTCAGCACAGAGCCTGATGCAGGTCTTGAACTCACAAACCGTGAGATCATAACCCAAGCTGAGACTGGCTGCTTAACCGATGGAGCAACCCAAGCACCCAGATGATGAGTATCTTTTTATGTGCCAATTGGCAATTTGTATATCTTCTTTTGTGACACATTTGTTCTGACCTTTTGTCTGTTTTTACTTTGGTTCATTTATGAAATTATCATTTTATTAGGAGCCTTAATGGTGTCTTTCAAAGAGATTTTAGTTTTGATGAAATCCAACTTATATTTCAGGGTTAGTGCTTCTTATGTTCTAAGAAACCACTGCCTACCATAAAGTTATCAACATTTCCCCCCCACATTTTCTTCTAGAAGTTTTGAACTTTTACGTTTAGATCTATGACCGATCTTGAGTTAGTTTTGGGTACAATGTGAAGGGTCAAGATTCATATTTTTCCATGCAAATGCAGCACCATCTGTTGGAAAGATTTTGAACTATTTTGGCATCTTTGTAAAAGTCCATTGGCCATGCATAAGTCTATGTCTACACACTGTTCTGTTCCATTGGTCCATCCTTACGCCAGTATGCCAATACACTGTTACTTTATGGTAAGTCTTAGTCAGGTCACATAACTCTTCCAACTTGGTTCTTCTTTTTCAAAATTGCTTTAGCTATTCAAGGTCTTTTGCATTTCCAAATAAATTTTAGTATCAGTATGTCAGTTTCCTCAAAAAGCCTGTTGAGACTTTTACTGAAAGTGCAATGAATCTGGTGATAAATGTGGGGAGAATTGACATCTTCATAATTCTTGTGCCTTTCAATCCATGAACATGGTATGACTTACTCTCCATATGTCTTTAATTTCCCTCACACCACCCATCTCTGACCATTCCTCTGTAATCACCTCACTTTGATGACAGCTGGGATAAACTTCCACTTTTAAAGACCCAAGTGATTAGATTGGGCCCACCCAGATAATCCAGAGAGCAGACGTGGAAAAGAAATGAAAGGCAGAACCCTGGGAAGCACAAGGGCTCATATAGTGAGCCTGGTCTCATGACCCTTCCCTCAAGAGAGGGTTCCCCCTGGAACTGCAAGGTCACGGACCAGAGCCAAGGCAGTGGTCACGCTGGAGGACCCTTGGGGTGGAGGATGCCAGCCTTGCCCCTGGCAAGCATGTGACATTGGGACACTTCCTTTATCCATCTCCTGTACCCACAGACCCAGCCCCTGGAGGAAAATGGTACTGCCCAGAAGTGATTAAATATTAACATACCTTTCTGTCCCTTCCTGACAGGGAGGGGAAGGGGTGCTCCAGGGGTCAATGACTGCTGTAGTTCACAGTGTAGAGGTCAACTGCTATGTCTACTGCTGGTAACGAGTGTGGCTGAAATAAACAAGACTGTCCCCACCATATGCCTGAGCAGAGCTCCTGGACCTGAGAGCTCAGAAAGAAATGTACGAGGGGTCAAAAGCAGTGGTCTTAGTTCCGTCTTACCTCCCCTCTATTTGACTCTGCGCCTCCCTTGTGGGGTCTGTGGGGACAGAAGGCTTTGAGGGCCTGTAAGCAGGAACGCTGGGAACCAGCCAGGAAGCTGCCCAGCCCAGGCTCATGCCATGGCCCACGGACATCCCTGTGGCAACAGAGTTCCCACACGGGACTCAGAGGCCCAGGTTGAGGTTTCAGGCCCTTTTCCCAGACGTTCTGCCCTCTCCTGCCTCTCAGCCTTCGCAGCCTCCTCATTTCAGTCACCTGTTTCCTCTCTCCTAGAATGAAGAACCATCTTCAGAAAGGAACACACGAAACCATTTTCAAACTGACTTTAATCATGTGGTTTTTTTTTGCTGCCCAAATATTGTACATGCAGAAGCCATGTGAAGAATTTTCTCCTCAAGGGAATTGGCAAGAATGTTGGACGAAACAGCTGGCAGTCTTCCCAGCCGTCCACCTGCCACCTAGGAGCCACTGCAAGTTTGGGAAGATGCTGCACATAGAAAATGTATAGAGCGCAGATATAAAAGGCTAATTGCTTCTTATCTAAACAGTGTGCTTGTCAGTCCCTATCAGCTATCTCTTTCTTTGCAGGATGCATTTGGAAATTCTAAAAAAGGGGTTCCTGCCTCCTGTGAATTTACATTCTAAAGGAGTGGATGGAATAATCAGGCCAACTTTTCCTAAGGAAGCAGCCACTCTGCCTGCGGAGACGATGTCTGACGAGAGATTCTGGAGAGAGGAGCGGTTTTAAGAAGCAAAATACTTGGATGGGAAGTTAACTGCCCTCTCTCCTCCCATCAGAGACCATCGCCTTCAACATCCTCAGGTGTTCAACTCTCCCATGGATGTCATTCTAGAAGGGGAAATGAGGACTGACCCGGTCTCATCTGCTGGTGGGGATACTGACCTACGCAGGGTGCAGCTGAGGTCGTGACATCACATCAGCACCGTGAAAATTGTCCATTGTAGACAACCCTTAATTATTTCTCATCATTAGGCAAGAAGAAAAGAGGGAGAAGAAACCACGAAGAAGTGGGAGCAGAGTCTGATAGGATTCCCAGAGTTCTTGTCAGAAGCAGCCTCTGGGCATGGACGGGTGAGGACCTGCACCCGGCTGGGGCACCAGGGGCTGGAAGGTTCCAGCCTGTGGAACCAGGTGCACCAGGCTCCAAACCCTCCTCAGCTCCAGATCAGACTTTTAAAACCTGGAAGGAACCACGGAACAACTAGCAAATGCTCTGATTTTGCGGATGAGGAAGCTGAGGCCCAGAAAAGTGAGTCTTGCGCAAGGTCACAGTTTTGGACAAAACTGTATATAACAGCCTTTGTGTCCCTGTAGCCAGTCGTCCAGGCCATTGACCTGCGTGGTGGATGCTCTGTTGCCCCTGGATCCCCAGGGCCCGTCTCTGTTAGCCAAACTCTCTGGGCCCCAGTCCCACGGACCCTTGTTGATAGTGGGGTGAACTCCTTGGGAGGGGGGGCGGTGGGTAAGGCCCCTGGTCTTACCAGCTAAGTTTCCAACTAGAGCCCTGGAATGTTTTCCCCAAGCAGTAACACCCTTTTCAACAAGCACTTGCCCCAAGCTAGTCTAGGCCCCTGACAGAGTTTCTCTTACTGGTGTGGTTTTCCTCACAGGCACAGCCATGCTGGGCCCACAAAAGCCCGAGCTCAGGGTCGGGGGGAGGGGGGAGTTGCTTTGCTACATGGAAAGATTAAGCCCTTTGTCAGAGAACAAGGTCCCACCATGAGGCACGCCAACAGCCGCGCCGCGTGGGTGCAGGCCACGCGGGCAGAGTCGGTGCCCGGGGAGACCGAGTTGCTCTCTTTGGCATCACTGACATTGCTCTGAGATGCTCAGGCACTCTCAAAAGAACCCTTTCCCAGCCAGACCAGGCCAATCCAGCCGCCATCAGGCCTCACCAGATTGGGCGGGACTCCCCACCCCCTGCCTTCAATCATGAGAGTTTGGTTTTGCCCCGTCCTCTTCTGACCTGAGTGAAAAGCAGACTTGATGGAGAAGGGGGGGGGTCTACACACCCATCTCCTCCCTCTTCGTTCAGTGAGAGAGAATCCGGTACAGGAAGCAGCATTTTAAAGAACCTCCATACGGGTCAGGGTAGTGGAGAAAACGCCGAGGAGAGGGAGATGGAGGGAGGAGTCAGCAGGGAGGCAGGCCTCTTCTTCTCCTTCTCCTTGGAGACGCCACGGAAATGCTTGCTGGACACCCTGGCCCTGAATGATGCACCGTCATCTCCCTGCGCCCGGGCGGAGGGCAACGCATCTACATCGTCAAGCAAAGGCAGCCATGTCTCGCGCAGAGTTTGCACAGTGCAGGAAGCAATCAGAGAAACAGAAGAGCAGCCTTGCTGAAGCTCTGCTGCTTTCTGGGCCGAGGAAGAGAGGGAACGGGAGGCATCAAGAGGCCTGGAGCCCCAGGGTGGGTCGGTGGCGGGGTGGGGGGGGGGTTGGGGGTCGCTCAGCATCTCCTGGGCAGCAGGGTGCGGAGCAAGAGCCCTGGTCGCAGGTCAGGGCTCCTGGTAACGCAGTCTAAGATTGTGCTACATTTCATTTCCAAAGACGGACCTTGGAGGTCTCTAATGTCTTTAAGGTGGGGGAAGGGGCCTGCTCTCCTGGAGGCTGGCAGTACAGGGGGGCTTCGGCATGCTGGCCCTGGCAGGCGTCACGCCCCTGGGGGAACCAGCGATCCCACTCTCTGGAGCCCCGGGGCTCCGCCTCATGCCCCTGGAACGCCGGCGTGCCCCAGAGCACCTCCTAAGCCCTCCGCTCCTTCCCTGGGAGAACTGGGAGGTGGGAGAGACCGGATGGGGAGTCGTTTTGGAGATGGTTCTTCCCTGAAGGATCAAGTCCCCCTAGTCAAACCTAGACTTGGCCCCCATTTACTGGAGCCTGATTCATACCAAAGGCCCTCAGACCTTCCTGTAGGGAAGGTGTCTAAGAAGGAAGTAAGTAGGACACACTGAACAGAGCAGAAACGTGAAGACAGCTGCTCTGAGTCATCCGTCATGGTTCCTGCCCACAGCCCAGCCACGCCGCAGGGCCACCCCCGTCTCTGCCTCCATCCGCCAGGAATCCTGCCTGAGCAGAGGAAGGGGAATGACACGGAGTCCCGTCCTGTACTCAGCTCTGGATTTCACCTGGGGCGAGCAGGCCTTCAGAGCCAGGAGACTGCACCTGGCAGCGAGCCGGGCCCAGCTTAGGGAGGACTCTGGAGGAGACCCTTCCTTCCTTCCCCACCATCCCATCCTCAAAGATGCTGCCCTCCCCAGGGAAGGCCAGGAGTCTCGCACAGGCTCCCTCCTCTCCTGGGACACGCTACTCCCAAAGGCTTCTTGGACAAGCCCCTGGATCCAGGAGGATGGGAAACAAACCCTTAAATCCAGCCATTCACCATCACACACCCATCAGCCTCACATGACCTCACCATAATGGGGGGAGGAACCAGTGGGGATTAGTAACTTATTTGGTGCAAAGGGTTAAAAAGGATAATTCCCTAAGGTCAACCTGGGGAGAATTACTTCTCACTAGAGAGGTGGGAGAGTGAGTGGCCCAGTTCTTGGGCAGTTTTGGCAGCTAGGGACTGTAGGCAGGTCAGCCTGAGTCACCACACATCGGGCCGCATCTCTGGCTAGAAGTTCCACGGTGCTAACCAACCTTCCCCCAGAGGTGAGAGCACCGTGGCCTACAGCTACCCAGAGGTCATCGCTCTGCGGGCAGCCCTCCACCTTTTCTGTCTTCCTGGGCCCCTAGAGGAATGAGGGTGATACCCTTCATTGATATCCCCCATACCCTGGGGATGACTGCGTGATCTGGGTATCACCACTCAATGCTACATCAGCAAATGTCTACACTATCCTATGAATCGCTATGAATCCCACCATTCCAAAAGTGTAGAGTATATCCACACCGTCCTGAGGGAGACTGCTCTAAAGGTGAACACATCATAGACAAAACATAAAAACACCCTTCTGTGAGCGAGTTTCCTCCCTCTGCCCACCCTAGGGTCAAAGAGTACAGAGCCCTTCACCTTATTTTTAGAAACATGAAAAATGCATGCATTATCCGGTCCCGACAACGGGAGAGAATTTCTGCCTAACGAGAAAACTCGACCCAGCTGCCTCCTCCCTCGCTCTACGCCCACAACAGTCCTCATCTGGGATCAGACAAGAATGGGGGCTCCGGCGGGAGCCAGGAGCCCATTCGGTTCGTTTCTAACTGCCCTTACCCACTTTCTGTCTGTGAGCAGGACCGATGGGGCTTTCCTGGGAGAGAGGTTACCAGCCTCTGGCTTTAACCTGATGTGGGGTCCTGCCAGGAAAGGAGGCCCTTTGGGTGGAGATGCTTCTATCTCCAGGGAGTCTCCCCTCCAGCTTCCCTCAGAATCTGCCTCTCTGTCCATCCATCTGGCTTTGGTTACAAATGGAGCCCAAACACTCAGGTGCAGAGACCTCTCCACTGCTCGGCTGGGTAGCTCCCTTCCACCTTGAGTATGTGTGTCCGAGTCATCGCAGCACATAGGGCTGATGGCTGGGGAAGAGGCAGAGGGACGGTCTTCTCCATACCTTGACACCCCCCCCGCCCCCCCGCCCCCCCCCCTTTCCTCCCCTCCAGACACGGACCCAAGAGCTACCGTGTCCACCTCCTGGGCAACCTCTAGCCTTCTGCCCTAGACCTGAGGAGGAAGAGGACAGATTTGGGCATTTCTGAGCAGCCGTCTCACAGGGTGAGTCCAGGCCCTGGTCCCCGCCCACAGGGCCCAGCTGTCAGATGAAGTCAGGGAAGTGGCTTTGGGAAACTCCAACCAGACAAGGGTAGAAAGAAAGCAGAGGCAGGTGAGGCGCCTAGGGCAGGCCAGGACACTCTCCAGAGGACAGCTGGGGAGCGCAAGGAGGCAGGGGGGCAGAGGGGGAAAGTATTGCTTGTACAGAGCTGGTGACTGTAGCAGTCTAGCTGAGTCCAGAGCCAGGCTGTCCATGGGGCCAGAAGGCTGGAACCCAAGTGAGTCTGAGCTCCCACACAGGGACCCTGGTCTGGAAATGAGCAAACAAAGAGAGACCCAAATGATCAACCTCGTGCAGCTAATCCCCAAAGGTCAGACAGGATACTCAACAGGGGCCCAGAGCAGGTCAGCCCCAGCCCTCCTCATTCCAGTAAGCGGCCCCACCCCCAGAACCTCCTCCACAAACCAGGCCCGCCCAGGATGAGCCCAGGGGGACAGGGCCACCCCCAGGGCCTGGAGAGGGCACAGGTGCCTCCAGGGACCATCTGCTGTGGCAGATAACATCCCCCTCTGAGGCCAGCCCCCTGGACGCCAAGACCCTCCAAGTCTACACCTCCTGGGATCCACTGGGAGAGCTCCTTTGGCATGTTGGAAGTGAGGAGGTTCAGAGGAAGACAGGAGGTGAAGGACAATACTAAGGGAGGTGCCAGCACTTCCCTCTAAGGGGCCTGGCCAGCAACCCTGGGAACTAAGGCTTCCTAGCATCTCACCTATAGGAAGGAGGTGGCTCCGGCCCAAGGGAGAAGATGATCTCCAAGCCCTCTGCTCCCCGGCATCCTCTGCTCCCCAGACCCCTGGCCAGGGCCCTAGATGAGCATGCTACATGCTGCAGATGCATTCAGTGGGAAGAGCTGCTAGGGCGCTCAGGTGGGGAGGAGGGCGTCGGGTCCCCAAGGGGCCTCGGGGTGGCCAGCTGCAGTGGTCACTACATTCCTCAAAAAAGAGCAGCGGTGCTGGGAGAAGCCAAGGTGGAACAAAGGACAAGACAGAAAACTAAGCAGGGACCGCCAGGAGGCGGCCCCGGCGGGGGCATGTGGGCTCTGCCCCGGGGCTCAGGGCCAGGCAGGACGGATCGGCGGGGCCCACTTTCACCCCTGGACTCGGGGGGGATTGGTGCCCACACAACACTCCTTTGGGTTTCTTTTCAACACGACACAGAGAGATGTGGATTGTGGCCCATGTAGTCACCAAGACTGACTGTACCCAGACCAACAGACAGATACAACATGGTCACACACAGACATAGACGCACACACACACGCACGCACACACTACAGTCTCCACTGCCAGCTGGGACGGGCCCAGTAGCCAACAGGCATGCAGCAGGGCTAGGGGGCCGGAAAGACGCGAAGACTATGTACAGGGGAGGGGAGGCCATCAGGCACCCCTTCCCACACTACATCCTGGCCTCTTCCTGAGGTCCTTAGGAGCACGAGGGGCTGGTGGCACTCTCCAGGGAGGACTGGGACAGGCGCCTGGTGAGGGATCCGAGTGTAGAGTCTGCCACCGAGGACGTGGGGAAGAGTTTGTACCAGCCGGCAACCACGGCACTCAGGTCCAGCTCGTCCAGCATGATCTGGGCCATGCCCATGAAACATTTGTGGTCCATGCGGCCGTAGTCTCCCCAGACAATCACCTGCCGGAAAGGAGGTCAGGGTGGGTGGTGAGACAGGCACTGAGCCAACTCCCCGACGCCAGGGCTCCACAGTGGGCCCAGGAACCTGTGGACTTCATTAGAGCACTGATGAGACAGAGAGCTGGAATGGAGACTGCTCTGGGACAACAGCTTACTGGGCGCTTATTATCTCAATTGTTACAACCATCTAGGTAAAGGTGTTGTGCATCATTATTTTGACGAAGAGGACACTAGAGCTCAGAGAGGTTAATTACCCCAAAGATACACCGTAAGTGGTGGCGAAGCTGGGATTGGAACCTGGGTCCAACTTCTAGAGCCTCCTGGTATCCCAGATGACAGCCTTGCCCAGTAAGGGGTGGACTGAGAGTCCAGGACCTGAGTCATGGCTCCCAGTCTGCTGCTGTCTCATGGTGGAGCTTGGGGAGGCCCCTTGCTCTCACTGGACCTCAGTGTTCCCATCCATAAAACTGGAAGAGGGAACTAGATGAGCTTACTGATTTTCGCACTTGTATTTTTATCAGTGGATCCTTTTTTCAAAATGGAATCCTGATGTGTGTGTGTGTGTGTGTGTGTGTGTGTGTACATGTGAAAACAGACACCCAAGATCACCCCTTCCCCCCCCCACAGAAGCCTAGAATTCCACAGTCTTTGCCATTTGCAACTCTGAGGGCCGTTGCCACGCAACCACCTCAGCCCAGAGGAATAGCCCTAGATGAACAGTTGCGCAACCCAGACCGTCCCTGGCTCAGGCCTCTCCTCTGCCGTCCCCATGGCCTCAGGCAAGGCCAACAGCCACAACCACCACTGCTAATACCTAGCGAGTAGCTGTGTGTGTTCCAGGCGATATGTGAGGCCCTCCCCGTGCACCTCTCATTTACTTTTTGCAACATGCCACCCGCAGACCGTGCTGGAGTCAGGACTTGAACCCAGAGCCCAGCCCCACCATGATCTATCCCCACTTAACCTCTTGAGCACCTCAGGTGCCTCATCTGGGGCTGGAGGTGATGATCCCTCCCTCCCAGTTGTAGAGAGCACTGTACACTCCTGCAGTTGGGGTGAAGTCACCTTGGCCCGGGCCACCTTGACTGTGCAAGTCACCAGCTGAAACCTCACACGAGTCACTTCACCTTCCTGAGACTGTAAGATGGGGAACATCACACCTACTTCCCAGGACCATCTCAAGCATGAAAGGAGGTCAGGACTGTAAAGCACTTAACACAGAGCCTGGCATGGAGCCGATGGGCAATAAACATTAGCGCCGGCCAGAAAGAGAAGGCGAGGCAGTCACACCCTGCTTCTACCTACCAGCTGGGCAACCTGGGGGATGGTGGTTATCCCCCTGAACTCTGGTTTCCTTATGAATCAAGCAGGGGCAATAACACCTCCCTGGGCTGTGAAAACAAATGTGTAATGCCCGTGGTACAGCGCCCGGCTCGGGGCACATTGTATGTAAAAGAGATTTTAAATGACGACTTGCCGTTTTTGAGAATCACCCCATCACACTCACCTGCAGCACCTTGCCCTGGGGCCCCTCGTCGAAGAGCAGAGCCTGCTGGTATAGGGGGTCACAGGTCTTCTTGGCGACCTTTGTCTTCTTTTTGGCCAAGCAGGCTCCATTCTCAAGCAGGTAAACCTTGATATAGGTGGCTGCGGGGCGGGAGAGAGCACAACGGGAAGGGTCTGGGAGAGAACGCTATGCCCTGCCCCACCCCTTAACACCCAGCTGGTCCTGGAGGTGAGCAAGGTGAGTGGGATGAGCTGACCAGTGGACAGCAGCAGGAAAGATGGACTCAAACACTGGCTCATCCATCCTCCCCACCCCACCCTCAGCCCTGTCCGCTGGCCTTCTGGGCAACCTAAGAGTCAAGAATGCTACTCTAGGTCAAGGGGCAACTGAGGATGCGCTAGACCCGGAGCTCAGTCGTGCACCCCTCCCTGGCAGGACCCCGGACCTAAAACCCCTCTCCCTGCTGCTCTGCCTTACCTGGGAGGGATTTGGAGCCTGGTTTGGGGGTCAGACCCCGGGCCTCAATCACTTCCACCTCCAGCTGGCCGCTCCGGTCCGTGATAGCAATGTGCACGTCCCCTGAAAGGGAGAAGAGGGACGGTCGAGGCAGAGGCAGAGCCAGGGGCAGGCTGGCCAGCTGCTGTACAGAGGGCTGTCTGCAGAGGATGCTACGGCACCAGAAAGGGCACAATATGCAAAAAATTGCGTGTGCCAGGGCTGCCTTTGGGAAGCCACTTGAGAGCAGCTGTGAAATACTTTGACAGGTCTCCTGGGGAGAGAGGCAGGTGCATGGCCTCAGTGGGCATGCCTGAGTAACAACAAATGGCTGCTGGTTCCCGGGTAAGGGCTGCTTTCCTGGCGGAGCTTCTGTCTTACTGAACAGAACAGCAAGTTTGGGGACAGAACTTCCTGTGTCAGGAAGAAAGCGAAGGAGGCTGTTGGACTTAGAGGCTCTTCTTCTTCTTCTTTTTTTTTTTTTAACATTTATTTTTTTTTGGGGGGGGGGGGCAGAGAGAGAAGGAGACAGAGAATCGAAAGCAGGCTCCAGGCTCTGAGCTGTCCGCATAGGGTCCAATGCGGGGCTCGAACTCATGAACTGTGAGGTCATGACCTGAGCTCAAGTTGGATGCTTAATGGACTGAGCCACCCAGGTGCCCTGTAGCGGCTCTTCTCCGCCTTCTACACAGCAGCCCTCTGCCACTCCCGTAAATCTATTTTGTCAAACAAATATTGACAAAAGATCAGTTTGAAAAGATGCCAAGATGGGAGCCTGTGCAGGATGGGAGGCACCGCCTGGGGACCAGGGTCTGTCCGTTCCCTTGTCCAAGGAGAGAGGGAAGGCCTGCTTTCCCGGAAGCAGAGAGCTGAGAACTCCTCACTATGCTCCCACAAACGATTATCTCGCTGAGGCAAGTTCTGTGTGAAGTCATGTCAGTTATTTCTAGAACCCTTGTTCAACACCAGCTAGCAGCATTTGAAATTATGCATTAGTCACTTAGAGCATCCTTCAAAGGAGTGCGGAATCATGAGCCTGATGCAGAGAAATTAAAACGGGACAGACTTTGGGTTCAGGCACCCATTTTAGACACACTGAGCTATCGTGCAATTGTTTGTATTTGCATATTTGGGAAGATGGGGATTTATTACTTTCAGGAAACATCCTGGAAGTCATCGCCCTCCCTCTAGCTATTTCTGACCTCCCCATGGGGGAGTGGGGAGGGGGAGGTCTCACTGTAACATCCTTAACAGGATGAGCAAATGCAAGCCTGTCCTTACTGCTTCCAGACACCAGGGGGCACCACACACAAATGTTCTAGGCCTTGATGGTGCAAAAGCCTGTGGAGGTGGCTGGCTCCTCTCACTGTCCCCCAGCCCCCAGCTGGGCCTAGGACCGGGAAAAGCAGATTCTCCAGGCCTTTAAGAGCCTGTAAGCAAGGGCTGGGAATTAGCCAAATCCTACCCAAGAGCCAGAGGAGAGCTGATGCTCACCCTCTGAGAGTCCCCATGGAGCCCTCTTCCAGCAGACAAAGGCTCCTGTGTAAGCACATTAGAGCGAGACAGGGCAGTATGGTGGGATAGAAACCGGCTCCACAATTTGGTTTCCAGCAGAGCACTGTCTGAGCCCAGCTCTCTCATGGGCTGTGAGGTCAGCACTTTGGACCTCAACTCTTTGGACCTGTGAGGTCAACATTTGAACACTGTTCCAGTGAAGACTGAGTCCAGATGTCTGGGTCAGACTCCTAGGTAGGACTCATGGGGAAGCTAGTTCCTGGGAGGAGCTGCTTAAAGCCAATACGGTATCTAAGAGACAGAAAGGGGGGAGGGGAGCTCGAAGTGCAGCTAAAAGGATCAAGTATAGACTCCGGGAAATAGGTCCTAGCTGCAAGGAGAGGGGATGAAAAAGTCACTTAAAAGGCTTTCAGGTGCCAGGAACTGTTAATAACAAGTCAAAGAAGACACATCTTCCAAGGAGTAAATGAAATACTTCATTCAAAGCACCGAATGAATTGTTGTTAGATTGCAGAATGAAGGCAGGTATTATTATTATTCCCATTTTACAGATGAGGAAATTGAGGCTCAAAGAAGGGAACTGACATGGCCAAGGTCACACAGAGCATCAGTGGCAGAATGGACTTGGTGGACATCAATGCTGTGATGATTTTTGTTCACCATTTTCCACCCAGCACCTAGCACCGCCCAGCAGGCGGTGGGAGAGTGGGTGGGTGTGTGGTGAAGTGAGGGAGGGCATGTGCTGTAAAGCTGTTGCAGGGTAGACACCAGAGCAAGGCTGGACCCCCTGTCCCCTCTGAACTGAGGAGTGCCGGGCTAACTCCTTCTTGTGGCACAAAAGCCGGACTGAGGGCTCCCTTCTGCAGTTCACACTGCATCAAACAGGGCCCCCACTGGGCTCACCCCTTCCGCCCTACTTGCTCTGCCCTCGAGGAGACTCACCCATTGGTGGTGTCGCCAATGTCTGTCGCCCCACAATCTGGGCTGGTCCCAGCCCATCCAGGAAATCACTAAACTGGCTTTCAGCCCCGAGCCGGGTGGTGGGGAAAATGAACCTGGAGAAAGAGGCAGAGGAGTATGAGGTGGTCTGGGTGGTGAGATGTAGTGGCCTTGCCCCAAGGACACTGGGCTGTGCTCCTCTGTGCCTCAGTTCCCCCACACATAGTATGAGAGCACTACTTTAGCTGGGGACAGACAGAACTGCTCATCTCTGCACACTAAAGAAAAGTACTTTGATGTCTCTTGAGAAATAATAAACATAATAATGCTATTCAATCCTCAAGCACCAGGATTTCTAAGATAACCCTTAAAAGGCAGGGCTTGCTGGACACCTGTATCCTCCCCAGGGGATATGAATGCCAAGAACCAGAAACACAGGCCAGAAATTTCAGTGCCTGGAGCAAGTTCCAAGAACTGAGGTTTCGTTGACCATATGTTTGAAATCCAAGTCAATAATCTGAGGTGGTGCCCAAAACAGCAGCCGAGACCAAAATAACACAATTACAGGGTTGAGATAAAAGGCGAGTGATGGTGGGTGGTCCCTGGTCGTGGGGGCCTGGCAATAGTAACAAGCAAAACTGACAGTGATTGAAACTTGGCCAGACGCCAGCAGCACGCTGAATGCTCAGCATACATTATATCATTTCGTCCTTATAGCGATTTCCGTGCTCGAGGGGCTATTATTCAGTTTTACAGATGAGAAAACAGAGGCTCCAAGAAGTAAGAAACAGAGAGGATATCCAACTCATAGGGTAACGGTGGGGATTAGGGCAGATGAGACATGAAAAGCTCCAGACAAACAGGAAACGATAAAATGGTAGTTATTACGTTGCTGCCGTTAACATCAAGGGGAAGTGCTACTTGTTCATGCCCTCAAGCCTAGATGTCCTGGAGGTGGCCAGCAGAGAAAGGACAGATAATGGAGGGCTGGCGCCTGTCTTCTCAGAGGCTCAAAGGACCAAAGTTCTAAGACCTCCTAGCACAGCCTCCAATCCTGGCCTGAGAGATCAGACTGTCCCAGAAACGACTCCCTGTTGGAAAGTTTGGCCTTGAGTTCCCCTTGGCCAGTGACAGACAGGGAGAAAGGCACACTGCATTCGCTTGTTGAAGAGGGCCTGTATCTTCCTAACGAGGCTGGGCTCCACTTCGTGGGAAGGGGCTTGGAAGCCCACCCACTCTGACTGGCGAGCCAGCAATAGTCTCATGCCGAATTCTGGGGAAAATGGGATCTGCAAAGGTTACATAAAGTAACAGACTCTCAAGGTCACGGAATTACAGGGAGTGGAGAGGTTGTGAACAAAGGTTATAGAGTCCAATGGCCTTAATTCAAATCCTGACCCCACCACCACTGAATAGCTGTGACCTGGAGTAAAGTACCTCACCCTCCTCCAGTGCCTCAGTCTCCCCACCTGTAAAATGGAGACAATGGTACTGACATCCCTCAGTGGTGGTGTCGTGTTAAATGAGATACTCTTTTTGCTCTGATAGTGGCTGGTAGATCCCAGAGTAAGAGGCACTCACCTGACGCCCTGCATACAGTAAGATGCAATAAATGTCACTGGCCATTTGCATTCAGGGACGAGACCACTAGGGAAGCAAGACTGAGAGAGACCACTAGGTTGGCCTGAATTGACCTTGGCTGAGACCACTAGGTTGGCCTGAATTGACCTTGGCTCTGGAGAGGTCTGCAGAAGAACCCCAGAGGCCAGGCAGTGAGATCACAGAATTCTAAATAAGAGAGCCACAGGGTCCTAAGGTCAATGGGCCCTGATGAAACTGAACCAGAAAACCTTCGTCATACAACCCATTGCATAGATTTAGGAAAGACCAAGGAACTATCTAACCCGGGGACTTTCATATTGTTAAGCGTAACCCCCACACAAGGGGAGAAATACATTTAACACCACAGACCTCTGTGCATCTGTATATTAAAAAACCAAAAACAAAAGTTCCCAAGGTAATTCATCCTCACTCCACAGGATCTGTTTGAATTGCCCATTTCTTCTTCTAATGTTGGTTTTGACCCACTAAACTGATTTTACTTCCTGCCTGAGTCACCGCCCACAGTCTGAAAAACACTGATCTGGTCCAACCTCCTCCTCTAAGCCCCAAGCAAGACCACTTGCTAGAACTCCATTCATCTGAGCCATAACAATGGTTTCAGAGAGAGAAGAATTTTAGGACCACATTTCCCTTTCAGCCTCTCCTCTGGAGCAGGGCAGTGTGTAGGTGCTGGGGGGCGGGGATAAAACATACAGATACACTGCCCGGGAGCTGCTGGCGCCGGGTGGTATTGGGAGGGGAAACAGGCAGCCTGGAGCCATAGGAAGACGGGGGGCCCAGGCGGGGGATGCCCAGGGGAGGCGGGGACCAGAGGAACCCAGACCTCCGGACTGGAAACCCAGCAGGAAGGTGACCCGGCTCCGCCCCTGGAGGGTGCAGGAGGGTGGGGTGGGGACCGCAGTGGGCGTGGGCTGCACGCACGTGCCCTCGGAGCTGTTGCTGTTGGTGCTCCCGTCGGTAGACTCGCGGCTGCCCTGGCGTGTGACCCGACTCCGCATTTCCACGGCGATGCCTGTCTCCGTGCTCCGCCGGATGTTGCTGCGCAGCTTCTTGGTGGCCCCTTCTGTGACCCCCCCCCGAAGCACAGAAAGGGAACAAGGTCAGATCACTGAAGAGGCTTCTGAGAGTGCTGCCAAAGTCACCTCCTGGCAGGGGGCGGGATGGGCAGGGCTCTGCTGAGCTGGGTCAGCCCCGCAGTGCCTCTCGGCCTCATCCCTGCCAGGCGGCCTGATGGCCATCTTGCCAACTCAGTTCCAGCCTTTGCCCCCAAACGGTTATGTGCTCCTTTCTCTTCTGGAAAGTTTGCTTTCTCTAGCATTCCCAGATTTGCTTTCCCTCTTCCAGGTATCCTCATGAACCCTATCACACCAGGACCTCACAATCCACCTCTGTGATTCCTTCACAGAACCAATAAAAAACCCACGTGAAGCTTAGCCACCCTCAAATTAACCTACATTCTCAGTGCAAGTCTGAATGTGGAGAGGGACACGTGTGGCGGGCTGGAGAGGCCATTAGGGAAGCAAGACTGAGAGGGACCGCTAGGTTGGCCTGAATTGACCTTGGCTCTGAAAGAGAGGTCTGCAGAAGAACCCCAGGAGTGAGGCAGTGAGAGCTTACTCCACATCTCTGTACCTCTTGTTTGGAGGGCCCTCTACCCTCACCCCAGCCCCCCTCTTGAGCCTCGCAGGGAACATGGGGCACTTTGCCTCTCCTAGCAGCGCACCATCCTGCCTGGGTTTCCATGGCAACCTCCTCAGCATTGCAGCGAGGTCCCTCTAGACACCCTCTCCTCCTGGGCATGGGGGAGCAAGAGACGGCTGGAAGGTTTGCAGGGCTTTCCCCTGCTGGAGCCTTGCTGCCTAAGGAGCTTCATAGGGAGGAAGAGGCACTCAGATAAGGACTGTACCAAAGAGCCATTTGCTGTCACTGACTAGAGGCCTGGGCCAATTAAGAGTGGAGTTGCCGACAGGGATGGGGAGGCTGGGAGTGGGACCAGCCACACAGTCTCCAAAAGCAGTGGTGGGGGAGGGAGTTGGCTATGCTGGCAACCCCCTCTCCTGGTCACACCCACTGGTAGGTTGGGGAGAGAAGGTTCAAAATACCAGCCTGCAAAAAGGGGAACTTAATTCCTTCTGCTTGGTCCTACTTACCTTTCAGGAAGTCCCACTGGGAGAGGGATGGCTGAGAGGGAGGGCCGGCATCACTAGCAGATGGGATGGGGGTCCTGGAGTATGGAGGGGCTGGCAGTAAGGAGGAATGTCTTCTCAGATACCACCCCAGCTTCTGGGATATTGGAATAGCTACTATCCATGAGTCAACGAGACCACTGATATGCCTGTCTGCCTGCCTGCCTGCCTGTCTGCCTCTCTCTGTCACACACACACACACACACATACACACACACACACACAGTCACTTTAGCTCATACGTATTTCTTTCACAGACATAAGCAGATGTACACGCGTGCTAATGATCACATGTATGAGTACAATGATCTCACACACCAGGTCATGTATGTTCATATAATGGGCACACAGTCACAAATGGTCCTACCAGGTCTTAGTCATACATACACATGACATACTCTGCCACAGATATGTGAGCTTCATGCCCTAACACTTGGAGTTGAACCCATCTACTCGATCACACACATAGATACAAACTCATAAATGGTGTGTGAGCCACCACACACAGAGGGCAATAGTAGCGGGTGTAGGGGACTCATGCTGTCCCTAGCTCCTAACTGCCACATCTCCTCTAACCCAGTTAGGAGACAGAGGGTCTGTGGGAGCTGCACTTTACCCTCCCTTCTCATATCCCCCCCTCCCAGCACACACCCTGAGCTGAAGCCAGAACCTTACCACCCATGGCCCCAATGCCCCCTCTTCTAGAGCTTCAGAAAGCTTTGACCCACTTGGGAGAAAATTTACCTTCTTTTCTACGAGCCCCTGGGTAGGGGTGTCACAGAATCCTGAAGTGTCGGAAACACCTCATTGATCTCTCACTGCCATTTCATAGATGGGGAGCCCAAGGTCCATGTGCTCATAAGGCTAGGGCCAGACCCCAGGCCCACACTTTCCCAGTCTACTGATAGCCTACTTTTCACCCTCTCCATCAACCCCACATTGGTTTGAGAGGTGATTCAGCAGAGATTAAGTTCCATGTCCTCTGGGTGGGAAGAAAGTTCTTGCAACATCAGAGAAAATTCCTCTACTGGTTTGATACCTGTCCAGTCTGAATTCTGTCAATCTGGGAAGAAACTTTATGTAGTCTCTCTCTAGAGAACTGAGCCAAGTTGCTTGCAATAGTTCTGTGGTCCCTGAGGACTGAAAGACTAAAGGAACCAAACCATCTGTCCCACCAGATATAAGGGAGAGCTAGTCAGAGCCCTCAGCAGCACTCACAGGGCATTTCCTGGAGGGTCCCAAGCTCTCTCTCGACCCTGACCCAGAGCCTTGGTGGGAAGAGCTGCTGTCCCTGGTACTGAAAAGAGGAGCTCCATTTAGGCAGAGGCTGGAATAGCCCAGGGTGGGCCCTGAGTAGACCCAGCCTAATGAGAGGCCATAACCCAACTAGGATCTAGGACCCCAAAGCTCTGGCCCTATCTTCATCATTGCTCCCACAACTTAGAGCATGTTACATATAGCCAGAAGCTGGGAGACAGTCTTTATAGCTCCATTTTACAGAAGAAGAAATAGAGACCCAGTGGAAATGTGACTTTCCCAAGGACCCATGGAGAGTTACAGAGCCAGAACTAAACTCTAAAGTTTCAGAGTGAGTTTCTGCAAGGTCACTTTAGGCAAATGTGAGGAAAAAACTGGAAGGGGCAGGCAGGAGGCAGGAGAACTAGAGAGGAGGCTGGGGCAATAGTCTGGCTAGGTATCACAGGTCCTGAACTAGGACAAAGGCTTCGAAACAAAGAGAGGAGATGGGAGGGGCTGGACCAATGCAGAATATGGACAGACCAGGGGGAAGGAAGCCCCTGGGAAGGACAGACCTAGAGCTCAGAAGCTGGGGTCCAGGAGAGGAGTTCTCCCCACTTCACATAGCCCAGCCCTGCAGGGAGGTGAGCCATCCCATCTGGGGGCAGCAGGGGCACCCTGCTAGGATCTTTTCCCAGAATGGAGTTTCCAGGGCTAGTGTGAGGGAGCCCAGACTGGGGGCTCCAGCTCTGGGGCCAGACTCTCCTACCCAGGAGGGGGCTCCAAGCTGAAACACTGGCAACCTCAAGGCTGGGGAGAAAAAAAAATGGAGAGCAAGAATTACAGATCGGAGTATGCTACAGGTGAGAGGCAGAGCTGTGAGGGCTAGAGAACTCACTTCTTGTTTGGTCCTACTGCGCGGCCATGGGTAATAATAACACTGACAATTTACCAAGTATCTACTATGTGGCGGCATGAGACTGAGTGCCTTTGCATATCTGTCTCATGTAATTCCCAAGAAGTCTGCAAGACAGGTATCACTGTCCTTATTCCACAGTCAAGGAAGCAAGCCCAGTCAAGGGAGCAAGCTTGGAGAAGCGAAGTAACTCGCCTGAGTCACCCAACTAGCAAATGACAGGGTGCGGCCCTCAAGGGCAACTTGAGGCTGTTCTCCAGGAAAGTGCCTTCTCCTCTCCAGGCTCAGATGCCTCATCGATAAAATGAGTGTATTAGACTAGATGATCCCAAGACGCCCTCCCCAGTCTCACATTCAGAGGTTAGATGATTCACAGAGACTTTCGGTTAAAAGGGCATCTGGGCAATTTTCCTGGTTCAGGCCCCAGCTGTACCCACACATGCCACGGAGACAAGTGATCCAGAAGCCTCATCGTCATACATCTCCCCTCGAGGTTTGAGGTCTCCTTGGTGTTTACTCCAGTCCCTGCCTGTTGATTGTGGAGTCTGGGTAGGTGGACAGCCCCAGGCAGATCACCAGAACGTCTCCCAGTGACTCAGGCCTCGGCCCTGGCCTTGGAAAACCGTCTGTCCAAATCACTTGGGGCATGAAGAAGCCTTTGGGTCTGAAGCTGCATCAGCTGGATTCCTAAAGCCAGACTCCAGGAGCCCAATACTTCCTCAACCTCCTCATCTCAATCTTCCAACCTTGATCCTACCCCTTCGTTCTGCACCAGCCCAACTCCTGGGTCCCCATCCCCCTGATATCCTAGCACCAGGCCCACATTGTATACACAGAGGCCGTGCCCATCCCAGGCCACTGATAACCTCAACCCCCTCCCCATCTAACATTTCCCTGAACCAGAAAACACACTGCGGCTTGATTGCTGGAAAAGACCACGTGCTCCTGTGAAGGGCTTTGTAAAAATCTATTTTAAGGCCTGGAAAAGTCTCCCACCCTCAACCGGGAGTCTTGATGAGCATTCTCTCTGGATCCTCCGGCGCCCCCGCCCCCTCACCACCCCCATCCAGCTGCCTATTTGAAGGTTTCCTGGGGAAGTTGTTACTCTGAACAAAATAAGCAGGAAGAGATTTTAAAACAAAACCAGCTGGTGTCTGGGCCAATGCCACAAAGTGAGGAGGTCTTGGGAGGGGAGGCTGGCTCCTCCTCTGTGATGTGGGGTCCAGTGTGACTGTGTGTGACAAAGTGGGTCACCCCCCAAGTCGGAGCACCACTAGGATTCCAAAACCAGGTATCTGGGAAAATACGTTTTTCAGGATGTAGCTGTTTAGGTGTGGGTGAAGGTGGCTTCGTGTGGTATGTGCATCTACGTGTGCAACATGCTTCTGTGACCGTGGGCCGTTGTGTGCATGTGTATGACTGTGCTTTGGTGATCTGGGTCTGTGCACTAGTGCTCAGAGGATTCGCGTGACTGGTTTTACTGTGACCATGTACAGGTGAATGACTGAAATATGATTTGTGGCTCACCTGAGCACACTGTATGACTATACACAGTGTATGTGTCTCTCTTATAACTTTTTAATGTAGAACTGTAACTATATTTCCATGGTTATTTGGACTTGGGATTTAGAGAATACAGGTGAGACTGTGGATATGTGTTTGTGAAGCTGTGTCACTTAGCGTGCTGTCAGGAATATGATGGCTGTTGAATGTGTCAGTCTGTGCATGGAAAGAGAACCGTGGAAAGTTTAAAGTTTAGGAGCATAAAGCCAGAAGCTTGGCTGCTTTGAATTCAGGCTCCCATGACCCACTCGCTATGTAGTTGGGGGCATCTTACTTCCCTTCTCTGTGCTTCGGGATCTGCTTCATGGAGTTTGTGGGGATTCAATGAGTCAGGATGCGTACTGGACCCAGAATAGCACCTGCTATGCAGCAAGTACTCTATAAGTATTTGTGGGCATGAGGATACCCCCCAGGTACCCTGTCACTGCAAGGCACCCCACCCCACCCCCTCCACGTCCCACGTCCCCTCACCAGACTGGGGGAGCTGGAGCGTGCTCTTGCTCCACTGAGTCAGGCCCACGATGGCCACCATCTTGGCCCCAAGGCTGCTGCGCCTCTTCTTGGCTGTGGTGGTCCCGGGCCCACCCCCAGCCTGCTGGGAGCCACAGATCTCACCACTGATGCTGGAGCTCCGGACCACATTCCTGGAGGCTGCGGCCGAGGCCGGACCAGGCTCCCCGTTAAACATGGTCCGAGGGGCGGCAAGGCCTCAGGCAACCCTGTGGGGGGAGGGCAGGAAACAAAGGGGTGCCACATCAGGCCCTGGGGCCACTCTTACTGCAGCCCCCCACTTCCTAACCGTGTGACCTTGGGCAAGTCACCTGGCCTCTCGAGGCTGTGAGGATTAAATGAATAAATAAACGTAGAGTGTGCACAGGGTCTGGCTCAATCAATGGAATTATTCTTTTTTTAAAACTTTGTTTAAATGTTTATTTATTTTTGAGAGAGATAGACAGAATATGAGCTGGGGAGGGGCAGAGAGAGGGAGATACAGAGTCTGAAACAGGCTCCAGGCTCTGAGCTAGCTGTCAGTACAGAGCCCGACGCAGGGCTCGAACTCACAAGCCGTGAGATCATGACCCGAGCCGCAGTCAGATTCTTAACTGACTGAGCCACCCTGGAACTATTCTTATTAGCACCTGATTATCCTGGTAAGTGACCTGGTTTGACAGTCAAGGCAGAGGCTGTGGAGTCACATGGCCCACTCTTGAATTCCAAAGGCCTCTACACACTGGCTGTGTGATCTTGTGACCAAGCACCTTGGGGTTTCAGTGAACACCTCAGCAAAACAAGAAATAAAAGCACTCACCTCAGGATTGTGGTAAGGATTAAATTAGAGCATGTGAAGGCGCCAAAACAGTGTCAGGAATGGAGTAAATAGTAAGTGTGATTACTGTCATAGCCAATAATAAGAACAGAGATAGCAAGACTGGCCCCAACCTGGGGAAGGGGGGGCGGCGGCAGCGCTGGCGGCTACAGAAGGGGACCTCCTGCTTGAAGGGGTAGCACAGAAAAGTAGAAAGAAGCAGGCTCAAGTCGCCCTTAAGCGCATCACGGAGTGGTGGCCCCTGGAGGTGTTTTAATCTGATTTCCTCCCAGTCTTTTTTCTATGCATTTTTAAAAATAACTGAGCTCATAGTGCAGATACAATTTTATATCCTGGTATTCCTCATTTAACATCATATCACGAGCATTTCCCAACATCACGAACACTTGGTATAAATGTTTTAACACCACCGTAATATTTCATTGCATATAGGTAGCATAATAGACATGTATTTCAATATCGTGACCTCTTAGATTAGATCTGACTTCCTCCTCTCTCTCCTGTGTTTTTTAAATGTTTATTTATTTATTTTGAGAGAGGGAGAGAGAGAGAGAGAGAGAAGCAGAGAGAAAGAGCGAGAGCGAGAGCGAGAGCGAGAGAGAGAGAGAGAGAGAGAGAGAATCCCAAGCAGGCTCTATGCTATCATCACAGACCCCACACAAAGCTCAATCTTACAAACCATGAGATCATGACCTGAGCCAAAATCCAAGAGTTCGATGCTTAACTGACTGAGCCCCCCAGGCACCCTATCCTGTCTTTTAAATAATACGGCAATAAACATCATTCTACACTGCTTTGATCCACTTATTTCCTTAGGATTGATTCCCAGAAACAGAGTGACTGGGCTGGATTGGATACTGCAAGGAGCCTCCCCAACATCCACGCTCCCTTCCTGCTTCCTGACCGAGCACTGGTTTTGTGCAGGTACCACCCCATCCCTTTTCAGAGGCAGATCCTGATTAGTTCAAGCCAATCAGTGAGTGGCACTCACCTCAGTAACTCGTACTGGTACAAGGGCAGGCATATGACTAAGTTGGCCCGACTGACTTAAGGGGAAGAGTTGGATTCCATGCTTACCAGAGAAGTAGGGTCTCTCTCACCCCACTCCCCTCAAGACTCTTCCCCCTAGAGAGGGCCCAGTCCAAGGAGGAAGCCAGTGTGGTTGGGTGCAGCACAGTACAGAGACAGAAAGAACCTTGGGCCACCCTGGAGCCTGCCTTTCTTTGGCCTTCCAATTATGTGAGATAATGTGTTCTCTGTTGCTTAAGCCAGTTTGAATCAGTGTTCTCAGTTACATCGAAAGCATCCTACCTGATACCGAGGACATAAACATCTCATTGATTCTTGTAAGATATTGCCGAATTCCTTTCCAAAGCTGCATTCGACAAATATGTAAGCCCCTAAAATTCCAAGGCCTGTGCAAAGTGTGGAGGATACAGCAGTGAGCCAGGCCAACTTGCCCTCTCAGAGCCTCCAGTCCAAAAGAGACAGATGGCAAGTAACTGATTACATAATTAAATATGAACTCGGATTGTTCTGATGAGTGCTAGGGAAGACAGAGGGCGCTGGGAGCCACTCTGGGGGAGCGAGTGACTGTTTTGCACAGAGATGGGATCTCTGGCTGTCGGCCTCTACAACAACTTGGCTGAAGGTCAAGGAGGTGCCCTCTGCTCAGAGTCTAGGAAAAACGGCTGCTCTAGCAGGCTCTGCATGCAGCCCTTCCCAGCTCCATCTCAGCCTACAGAGCTCTTCCCAGGGAAGCCCATGCCAGGGCACAGGTCACTATGCTTGACCCTCTGCCCTCAGCCATGTCACCCTGAGGGAATCTGCCTTTCAAAAGGGCAGAGTTGGAGTGTCAGGTCGGGGGAGAAGGAGGGAGCTAGGAGGGGGCCACTCTAGAGGAGTTCAGTCCCCAGATAGCTATGAGTGGTGGCCATTTGGCTTCCTGTTCAGCAGGGCTCCTGCCAACCAGGTAGATGAGGACTGACTGTGGGGATGAGTCAAGGCTGTGTTCTCCCTTCTTTGTGGTTGTCTGGACTGTTTTCTCTCACCCTGCGATGTACGCAGAGTCCCGGATTGTATTTCTCCATCCATCCCCCATTAACCTTGCAGCTAATGGAAAGTCCCCCTGGACTTGGGCCTATGATGATCTCTTCTCTTCAGTTTCCAATTCTAGTGCCAGTGTGTGTGGTTTTTTTGGGCACCTGAATGGCCTTTTGGTGAATGGTGGGAGAGGGCTTGCAGCATAAGTCTAACTTACTCTTTAAAGTATTTTTGTTAAGGGCGCCTGGCTGGCTCAGTCAGTTAAGCGTCTGACTCTTGGTGTCGGCTCAGGTCATGATCTCATGGTTTGTGGGTTTGAGTCCCGCGTCGGGCTCTGTGCTGGCAGTGCAGAGCCTGCTTGGGAGTCTCTCTCTCCTCTCTCGGCCCCTCTTCCACTCATTCTCATTCTCTCTCTCTGTCAAAATAAATAATAAAATAAACTCAAAAAAAATTTTAAAGTGTTTCAGTTAGGTGTGTGGTAATCTCCATGTCACAGCTGAGAAACTGGAGTCTCAGAAAAGTCAAGGCCTTGCCCGTCCTACTCAGCTAAGAAATGGCAACACCTGGACTTGAACCCGGGTCTCCTCTTCCCACAAAGATGCAAGGACACTCAGCAGCTCCTGCCCCCTCGACCCAGACCTCACCCAAAGGCATGGGCCCAGCCCTCCCACTCAGGCTTTGCCCTGGGTCTCCAGCATTTTGAAAACCCTGCAAGAAAATGATCCCCGATGAGAAAAACCTCTCTGGCCCTGGTTTCCGCAGCTGGCATGAGCATCTGAGGGCAGTAGAGACCCCACCCAGACCACAGCTGGAGAAGCAAGCACTTCCCTAGTGCAGCCTACAGGAAGCTCACTCCTAGGAGTTGAGAAGGGAAGAAAGTACGGGACAAAATTCCTGACCCTGCCAACCCAGGGGCTCATGTTTCCTCATGAATAATGAATGACATTGACAAGCAGATGGTTTGACATCCAGGGCTCTGTACCGTCTGGAGCTACTCTCTCATCTTTAACCACCCAGGCATCACCCAGAGGGGACTGGAGAGCTGGTGAATGCTGCAGAGGACCCAGCCAGGCAGGCCACCCTCATGGGGACAGGAAGAACCAGACCCGAAGCAGTGGACCCAAGGTCTTAGGGCATGACGTCTGGTGCAGGGCAGCCTGGGAGAATGAAGAATCAGGAGTGGGATTAGAATGTGTACAGATTCCTTGTGTCACTTTCTCTGGGCCTTGGTCTCCTCATCTGTGTGTAAAATGAAGGGGTTGAATTAGGTGATCTCTACAAATCCTTTTAACTAGAGAGCAGAGCCTGTGAACACACTGCATTGGCAGGCTCAGAATGGGGGCTCCGGCTGTTTCTCTGACAGTCAGTCTAGCTCAGGAGGGGTAAGACAGAGGGGCACCTGGATGGCTCAGTCGGTGAAGTGTCTGACTCCGGTTCAGGTCGTGATCTCATGGTTCATGAGTTTGAGCCCCACATGGGGCTCTGCGCTGTCAGTGCAGAGCCTGCTTGGGATTCTCTTTCTCTCCTTCTCTCTCTGTCCCTCCCCCACTTGTTCTCCCCTCCCCAAATAAATAAACTTAAAAAAGGGGGTAAGACAGAGAGAGAGAGCCAGCCACCTGGCCCCCATGAGGAGGAAGTCCTCCTCACAGCGCCCTCTGAGCCATGAGACCACAGGGATGAGGAAGGGGCAGCTGGGAGAGATGGCGACAGAGCGGTGAGGGGCCAGCAAGCCATAGAACACAGCATCTCACATACTGGTGGTTCCAAGAGATTGCTAAGTGACCTATAGCCTTTCTACAGAAGTCACTTCAACAATTCCCTGCCCCTGAGCATGACTGTCCCTTTCCCAGCCCCGTTCATGGCACCCTAAGGAAGGGAGCCCTTCCTCGTCGGGTCATAGATACTGCATTCTGGAGCTCTCTCTGCTGACTCCCATCTACTGCCACAGCAGCATCTACTACTATGGCTCAGATGTCCCCTCCAGGGACGAGGACTACTGTCCCCACTCCTGCCAAAGTTCCATGCCTGCAGATACCTTTCAAGCACCCCAAGCAAGGAGGCGAGTGTTTCCTTTCCAGCTATAGGTGTTTGGCCTCTACCCTGGAGTCACAGCACCCTAAGCGCTCCCCAGACCATCTCTTGAATCCTGACAGCAGAGGTTTCAGAGCTCTGCCAGGCTACCCACGCCCGTCATGTGTCTAACCAGATCATAAGCCTGTTTTGAGAGTCATTGAGGCCATCCAAAAGCCCAAGATAAGCCTCGCTTCCCACTCTTTCAATAAGAGAGACCAAGGAATCTGTCATAGGGTGATGGACTGGTAGGTTGGAAGGGATGGCAAATAACTGAGGCTCTTACCAGCTCTCCCCATCTTCCACCTGTAGGAGACATCACTAACCCTTTTCTCTTTCCCACCAAGGACAGATTTAACCTCAGAATCCCTCTCAACACAGCTCCAGGACCCACTGGTGAACACTGGCCCATGATTTAAAATAGAGTTGTCATCCCCATCCCAGCCTGAGTCTTTCATTTTGCAGAGTGGGAAATCAAGGCCCAGGATGGGAAGGAGACACACCCAGGGTCACATAGAAAGTTGGGGACAAAACTGGAGCTCCAACCCAAGCCTCCTAACTCCCAGGTCCCACGTCACCTAACAGGTGCTTCCTCCCCACTCTGAAGAAAACCCAAACTCACCAAACTGATGAATCTGAGCGTGGTGACCACATCACAGGGGGCTGTGCCCCTACCAATAGCACACCCCTAGGGCATTTACACGAGGCTTCTGTTAACTTCTGCCCAGACACCAGTCTTCAAGAAAGGAGGTGAAGGCAATCAGGGTAGCTTCCAGGAGGAGGTGATGTAATACGAGTCTGGAAGGAAAGAGGGGAGTTTAGAGGAAGGGCGAGCGAAAACATCTGTCCTTAAGGGCTTCCAGGAGCTTGCAGAGTTAAGAGACAGACTTTCGAGATAGCTGTGTGATGTTGAGCAAATCACTTAAACTCTCTGATTCGTTTCCTACTTTGTAAAAAGCATCTCACTCCTGGGTCTCCTAATCTGCCTTTAGGCACTTTAAATGTCGACTAGCTGCTGAAGCCCCACCCACAACTTTAAGGCTTTTAACACAGGAGAGACTAGGGAGGTTCAACGGCCAGCCTAGGAGCTCTAGACCCTATTCTTCCTTCCTCAGTCCTCGATATGACTGAAGGGTTGTCCCTCCCCAGACACTGTGAGATGCCAGGAGGGGAGGAGGAGCACTTCTGGCTCCACCCCCACCCATGGGACTCTGAGCAAGTCATTCAGCCTCTTTGAACTTCCATCTCCTCTTCTATGTGAGGAGCCTACTCGCCACCTGGACGCAGCCCCACTCTCCAGGCTGGGCTCGGTGTCAGACGGGATAATAAAGAGCAGGCAAACACTGTGATTAAAAACCCAGGCTTTGGAGGCAGACAGACTTGGTTCAAAACCTAGATCTGTCACTTGCAAGCCGTGTGACGCAGGGCAATCTCCTTAACAAACCCTCTGAGCCTACTGTTCCTTATCTCTAGATGGGGATAATAATGCCTGCCTTAGGATTATTAAAAAAATAAAATTAAGGATCGGCAACGTGCTAAAAGCTCAGTTGGGCAATTACACTGTTACTACTCACAACGGTGCCTTAATGTTAACAGGGAAGGACTGCATGGGGCCAGTGCCCATTGGTCTGGACTGCACACCAGGCGCAACCACTTTGTGGGAAGGCTCAGAGACCAACAGGATCACCTCTCACCTGCTCCCACCCAGAGCGCAGGATAGTGTGGGATGCGTGTGGGGCCCTGTGCCTCTCAGTTGAGGTGGAGCTGGCACGTGAAGCTTGTTCTTCTCTGCCAGCATCTCAGCTCCTGGCCCCTCACTGGATGCTGGGTCTGACTTTGGAAAGCCTCGACCCAATCCTGGTCCAGCACCAGGGCTGCCCACTCCATCTCCCATACCAATGTGTGTCCATGTCAGAGGCCAGTGTCTGCATCCACAGAACGGGAGAAGGGTTCTTTTTTTTCTAGCCTTTCTTTATCCCGCCCCCAGGAAAAGATGGGTGGGTGACAAGGCTGGCATATGCTGGGGGAGGTAGGCCGGGCTGAGGGAGCACACCCAGCTTGCGTGGGGAGCACTATGCCAGGTCTCCTCCTTATTATGTGGCCTTTGTCTCCCCCAAGCCAGACACACATGCACAACACTATACACACACAGGGAGGGACACAGGGCACTGAATTTCAAATGTGTGATCACACACCACGCAGACCCAGACAGATGACACACACTTAAAGACATAATCACCTACGTACACAGATACACACATGCACCCACAAGACAAAGGCACACAGAAGCAGACACACTGACAGTCACAGGCGTTTGCAGACTCACATATGTGTACATACCCACACACGCTCAAACACACACACCCCCCTCCCTGGCCCCTGCCCAGCCCAGAGAGGCGGGAAGAGCCCCACCCCTTCAGTAGGCAGGGAAGTGGGAAGAGTCATACCTGGATCCTGGGTTCCCTTGGCTGAGGCACGCACACCAGCTCTGAGCAGGTGCCCGTGTGAGCTTGAATACGTACTTGCTCATCCCGGCTCCAGCCCCGCGTACCACCCTCCTGGCCCCCATCCCTGCAGGCCGGACAAAAGAGCTCATCGGTGAGGTTTGTGGTGAGGAGATGAGAAGGCTGGCAGGGAGCAGCTGCTGTCACCATGGCTACCAAGCTGACCCACTTCTCCTCCACCCAGCCTGGCCTACCCAGCCCAGGCAAGGGAGGAAAGGCAGCTCTGGGCAGGGGGGCCCTCTCCTCTCACACACAGTAAGAGTCTCTGAGGGTGTGGGAAGGGATGGGTTGGGCACCAGACTGGGTCCTGCATAGAAAGGCAAGAGCCAGACATTCTTTGAAGGGAGCTAGGTGCTCAGGAGATAGCCCCTGCAAAACCTAGCCCCCAGCCTTCCTCAGCTTTGGCACCTCTGGCCTCAGGGATCTACATGGGTCATGTGTCTACCCTGGACACATTCTCAGACACAGTCCTCATGGCAAGGTAGAGGGTGGGGCAGCCAGGCCCAAAGCTCTGTCCACAACTCCACAGGCGCGGGACACTGAAGGGCAAGATGACAGACCCAGAGCTGGTTGTGCCCTGTGTCCTGCTCAGATCGAGGTTCCTGAGGGCAGAGCTTGTCCTCCCCATTTGGACCAGGGGCTGCTGAAGACGCAGCCATGCCTTCATTCCTCAGACAGAGCTGCCATGTGTCTTTCCTCAGCCAGGGGGCTCCTGAGGACATGGCCATGTGTCTTCCCTCAGAACTGGGGATACAGAGGAACCACACAGCCTTCAGACAGCTCAGTTTTGTGAGGTCACTCACAAGGCAGAATGAATCACTCCTGTACAACAGCTTTCCGTAGCTCCCTATTTCCTTCAGGAGAAGGTGAAAACCCCTCGCACCAAGGTGCACAAGCCCAGTGAGCCAGCTCGGCCCATGCTCTCACCCCTCTTCTGTATTCAAGTGGCACTTGTCTTTTTTTCCACTCCTCAAAAGTGCCCTGTGTCCCATCTGCCTAGAATGCTCTTCTCCAGCCTGCCCCCTCCCTCGTGTTCTGATGCCCTGTATTTATCTGTGTGCCGCTTTTGCCTGGCTAATCCCTATGCATTGCTCAGTCCCAGCTGGAATGTCATTTCCTAGGAGAGTCTTTCCAGACAAAGCGAGTCCCCCTGTCACGCTCTCCCAGACTCTGTATTGTCCCTGCCCGTTATGGGTTGAATTGTGCCTCCCCCACGCCCCCACACCGAGAAAAGATATGTCAAGGTAGTAACCCTAGTACTTCAGAATCTGACCTTGTTTTGGAATAGGGCCATTGCAGATGTGATTAGTTCAGCTGAGGTCATGTTGGAGTAGGGTGGGTGTGGGTCTCTAATCCAATATGACTGGTGTCCTTATAAGAATGCAACGGCATGAAGGCAGAGGTGCACGGGGAGAATGCCACATGACAACGGTGGCAGAGTGTGGACTGATACAGCAACAAAGTGAAGAACGCCAAGGATTGCCAGCGGTCACCAGAAGCTCAGAGAGAGCCACGGAACAGCACCACCCTCAGAAGGAACCAATCCCACCAACACCTGTCTCCAGGACAAAGTTCTACTGTTTTGACCACCCAGTTTGTAGTACTTTGTGATAGTTGCCCTAGGAAACACATATACTGCTATTCTTAATTTGTTCAGTGGCTGTCTCCCCACACCCCAGCCCCTGGCTGCAAGCCATCTAAAAACCGAAATGATGTCTTCTTTGCCCTGAACCTCCCGTGTCTGGCATCGGCCTGGCACATAGTAGGGCTCTGTAAAAATGTGTTGAATGAATGACTGACAATCTCCAACAAATATTAACAGTATTTATAGCTGGGTAGTAGAATTATGAGTAATTTTTATTTTCTTCGTGTGACATATTGTGTTTTTCTAAGTCCCCACTTTAGAAACTGTATTGACGCTATCATAAAGAAAAACTAAAACACATATTTTTCTTTTCAAAACATACATTAAAATAAGAGTCATTTTCACCAGTATGTGTTTTGTGAAGAGGAAGAAATTCTGCTATATGCTTGATAACTACTTTTTCATTGATTAATTGATTGCTCGTTGTGTCACTAGAGTACTTTCTGGAGTCAGATTTACAGAGCTCGAGCTCTGGGGCCTTGGGGGGTATAGATTCCAGGCAGGAGGGGCCAGGCAAAGTATGCATGCTTCACAGCCATCTCAACCACCCACCTCTTTTCATAGCTCATGGGATCTGGTCAGATGTGCCACCTGTCACCTGATGGGGGCTGCTAGACTTGGCACTTAAGGACACTACAAGCCCCGGCTGGCGGCCATTTCCAAACAGAAAGATCTTACCCTGAAACTTAAATATTCACACAAATCACTTGGGGATCTTGTTGAAATGCAGATTCAATCCGATGGGTCCCAAGGGGAACCTGAGATTTTGCATTTCTAACAAGGTTTCAGGTGATACTCATGTTGTTGGTCTATGGGTGACCCAAGGCACTGAAAGTTAAAAATTAAATACTTTGGTTGTTCTGCAAGAGTGAATACTTCAGGGGGTGTCTGTGTGGCTCAGTCGGTTAAGCATCTGACTTTGGTTCAGGTCACAATCTCATGGTCCATGGGTTCAAGCCCTGCGCTGGGCTCTATGCTCACAGCTCAGAGCCCGGAGCCTGCTTTGTATTCTGTGTCTCCCTCTCTCTCTCTCTGCTCCTCCCCCACTCACGCTTTGTCTCTCTTTCTATCTCAAAAATAAATAAACATTTAAAAATTAAAAAAAAAAAAAGACTGAATGCTTCAGGATGAGGAGACCAGAAAAGACACATTGGGAAGTGCATTGCAGAATACCTCAAAAGATAGGTAGTATCAGGAGAGTTAGAAGTGACAGGAAAGAAATGGGAACTGCCTGGGAAGGACTGGAGAGGAAGTGTTATGTCCACAGGATGGTGAATAGGGCAGTGCAGTTGGAACAGGAGGTAAGTATAATTGTGGAAGAGAAGGCTAAAAAAGCAGGCTAGGAACAGCCAATGAAGGGCTCTGGATGCAGGGCTAAGAAGCTTGACTTTAATCCTGTAAGAAGTGAAATCTGACATGACTTAGATGTAATGTTTTACAGAGATCAATCTGACACTGACTGCAGAATCAGAAGAAAGCGTGACAGAAGGAAGAACAGTCAAAAAGCAGATAAGAAGGCTGCACTGCTTCAGATAATGCAAATGGGAAGAGGAAAAGGGTGGCTAGGAGTCATGAGAGGGCTTGGGGAGTTGCCTAGAGTTAGTGATGGGACGAAGTTGGGGAGAGGA